CCATCTCTATCATAGAAAAGAGTCAGAGACAGATTAACAATGGAATCATAGGGTCAGAGAAAACTACCTGTATGACTACGATTTCCTAGACAGCATATAGGGACAACTCTCGGGTGACAGGCTCAAAAGATCAGTTTGGTAGCTGTCTTTTGTGTCTCATATATGTTATGTTGTGGAATTTCATGTTAAATAAATGTGAGAAGGGCACGGGAATACATTTCTTCTCATCATTGCCTCCTGATGACGTGGTCGCCGATAGACGCGTGTGGTTGATGAGGTTTCATAACCGACATGTGGATGTGTGTTAAATGCAGTGGGTGTGTTCACCTCTCTCGTCCGTGTGTAGGTAGGAGGTATGGCTACCTCTCCCATTTGTAGGCAGCGTGGACCATACTTGTAAATATAGTCTAGACAGAGTTCATTTCATGCATGTTATATCATTTGTGTTTGAAAAATTGGCGGCGCAATTTTTTTTGCGGTGAGCCCAAAAAGGTTCGGAAACGGAACCAATTCAACAAAATAGAACAGGAAGAGACCTTCATTATTCTGCATTTTTTTCGGTTGGTTCGCCGTGGTTGTCGAGAAATCGTGGATTTTGTAAGGTGAGGTGTCCCCCGCAAGGATGGTAAAAGGCCCATAACTTGATACTGAGAAGGAACCAACCGCTGTTTGTTTAGTGGCTTATTCGAACGCTGCTGGCTAGAGCTTTCCAACGCATATTTGTTTGTGGCCCAAATCGTTTGGGCTCCCTCTTTTTTTAATTACCCCGCCCCAAAATCGGGGGACAACCCGTTATGGATCATGCGCACAAGCAAAAAACCCTTGCCGAGGCAGCGAGGGGAAGAAGGGGAGGATGTACGTGGAACATCAACATCCATCCATATATGAAGGGAGGGTTTCATCGCCGCAGTCGCATGTACGCACATGTATTCACATGCTTAAAAAAACAGCAAAAAGGGTTCCAAGCGACGACCGAACGAACCAGAGAGGCAAGGGTTGCATGTACGGATACAATATTGTTTGCTTTTTAACCTGGGGAGCAACAGCGGTGAACGGGAACACCAGCCTTGGTTTTCATTTGATTAAATGAACGCGAAGAAGCACCTCCTTCCTCAGCTACAAACGACTCGCCTCGACGACATCTACGGTTGGACACCTTCTACGAGGAGCGGTAACAACACCAACCAGATGCACGGACACTTTTAAAGATTAAGAAACAGCGGCGACACTAGCTGGCCAATCCTCGATTTCTTTTAATGTGCCACGGAAACCTCATACCAAGCTGTAGCGTAGGTCTCATGTCCCGCCGTTCCTAAGATGATAAGTGAAATCTCAGTCAACGGCGCATGGACCTCTTCTTCCTCCTTCTGTGGACGCCGTAAAAGACGTCACCGAGAGTAGGCAGGCTCTGCCGCCCGAGTTCTTCTCAACCAGTCTTTGCGTGGACAGTGTGCGCACCATCCAAAAGAAGAAAACGTGACGAAAAATCCCGGAAATCCCCTCATCGTGAACTTAACAACATTAACCAACAGAAGAGAAGGGCGGCCGCGAGGTTTCTGCCTCGACGTTTTATACTCAAAACGAAACAGGTGGGTGGACTGTTCTTCCCCGGTTCATAAAAAATCGCTCACCCTACAACTTCATTCCCCAGAAACAAATCTGTCGATCCCGATGATACTGCTACCTCCCCCTAAAACAAGCAATTCCTCTTGATAAAAAATGATCGACGAGCCAGCACTGCCTGGCTTGTCTATTGCCATATGGGCACTAACTGGTGAAAGATGCAAGGAAGAACCGCCATTACGTGAAGTCCAGTCTCTTCAGTTCCACCAGCTTCTGCTCAAAATCCGCGCCATTCGCAGGCTGGGTCAACAGCGGTAACATGGACAAGAATTTGGATTTGCCTTCGATCAATTGCAAGGCTTCGGTGGGGGAGGGGGGAGGCGTGGGGGCTGCGTGGGCATCGCACCGCACCCGAAACACTCCCAAAAAAAAAACGGCATAATCTATACGATGTTCTTGGCATATTCTCCCGCCGAGAACCCATCCCAGCACATCTGACTACATGCAACGCGAAGCGACGCATCCGGCTCTTACCATCCACATCAAAGTCTACTGCTACCTACTCGCAGTGGCGCCGCGACACCTCCCCTATCCGCTCTAATAAGTTCATCCTTCAGCGCCGTCGTGAGGCAGCAGTTCAACCCACCCCCTCAGGGTCAAAAATACATCAACCACTCAACTCAAGCTGCCGAGTTTAGGGATGATCGATCCATCCATGTCACACGCCTGTCAGACCAACAGACCCAGCTCAACTCCTCGACAACGAGTCGAATGAGTATTGCACGGGTAATCAATCGCACTCGATTCATCTTCCTTTCTAGTTCTGCTTGGACTTGAGGTATTCCGCGAACGAAGGCGCGGCGGAGATGGACTTGCGGGGGTCCTCGTGGTCCACGGGTGCGGGGTCGCGGGTGTCTGCCATGCCGCCGGTGCCGATGTGCTTCTCGCCGGCCTCCAGAGGAAAAGCATAGACGGAAACGGGGACGAAGGAATTAGACTGGACTGCCCGGATACGACAAAACAGGAATGAAAGCGCAACAATTATGTCCTGTGTTTTTGTGTTTTTGTTCGGCGGCTGTATGTTACTCGCTCAAAATCGACGACGCGGTGATACAAGTTGTTGAGCCCCAAGACCATTTCTACGGCAAAGCGTTCGTGCGCTTTCGACAAAAACGGCCGGCCTCGAAAAAAACTTTTCGTTTCTACGTTTCCTATACCCTGCTGCCTATACCGCAACACACATCAGCGACTTTTCGAGTACGGGCACACACGCGCAACCTTACGTTAGCCAGGAACAATGTTGATATTCCTTCCTCACCAAAACCAAAGCACTGCAAACGTCGTTCCATCTCTTGAACAAAACGCCGATTCTTATGCACGACATACCTTCTTAGCCGCTGGGGGGCTGTAGGCGGGGGCAGCCGCGGCGGGGGGGCTGTGCGGGGCCGGGGGGGTGTACGCCGGGGCGGCGGCGCGCGCGCTGTCGGTGCGGAATGAAGACGGTGACACCAAAACGAAGCACGACAAGGCAGCAAGAGACGGAAAGCAAACAAGAGCACACGGAAGGTCAGAGATCGACACCAGAAGATGCGGGCAGTGGGAGGAGAAGGTGGGGTAGGCGGGGAGCGTAGCCTAACGCAAAGGAGGCAATAGTTTCATCCATGTCCGTGTGCTCCAGCGACACAGGCCACGACGATATCACACACACGAGCCCAATGATGCAACTTGTACTGGCAGTGGGTGAGTCGACCAATGGGCCTCCTAATGGGCGAGGCTACATCACTTGCAGGAAGCTCAAAACCACGGGCGGTTGTGCAGGCGTTTTGCCCTACTTGTACACGCAACCAACAGCATCATTTCAGCGCTCAACCCTGAAGTGCTCCGTTCTTCTCTGCATGCAAAACAAGCGGCCGTGGCATAAGAAACCAACCCGACATGATGCAGGTTGCATCCTACTCACGTGGGCGGCCGGGGGGAGGCGGCAGCGGGCGCGTAAGAGGGCCTGGACGAGGGCTTGGCCGACTTCCAGTCAGCCTTGGGCTGCCACTTAGCCCCGCCGCCGGAGGACGCGGGCGACGAAACGGGGGGGCTGGCCGGGGTCGACGGTGCTGCGGGGGCGGGCGCAGGGGCGCTGTTGCCTCCGCCCCTGTGTCGGTCGAGAGAGAACGGGGGATCGACATCCAACACACGGTCGATGGTGGATAGGTGAGAATCCCGAGGGTGTATGATAAGCCCCGCAGTGCTGCTGTGGTTGGCGCTCTACAACCCCCACGGTCAAGAGTATCCTGGTTCTATCCAATGTTTCCATACAAGCGTGCGTAGCTTAGGATCGTTGTGGGACACAACTGGTATGCGCAGATAGTCGTGAAAACGCACGTCCGCCCTTCCGAGGTGCGGCATGTACTTTTGGGTCATCCCGTGCAACTGCCAAATACAAAATTAAATGGTGGCTGCCGGCCCAATCCTTTACTTCGCGCAGTATACACCGCTGGCTGCAGACGGTAGCTTGTACCAAACAGCCGAAGACATGCTCCCAGCACTACACACAGAAGACGACGAAATAACGGTTATTCTCAAGCCAACCATGCATCCGCTGGGATAAATTGATGAAAATCTGCCCTGGGAAGCCAAGATAAGTCACCGAGAGATAAAGAAAAAACATACCTCGACGCCATGTACTCCTCGTACGGGGAAAGGTTAAGCTTGAACACCTCCCCGCGAGCCTCTACCTGCGACACGCGGACGACAACATATGTGTAGGGAAGAGAGTTTTGAGTGTGAGATACAATTACAAGAGAGCAGGTCCGAAATGCAGGTCGCTGCTGGAAACATGGCACCCATGCTGCAGGGAGGCTGTACTCCTGTGTACAAACCCGCGCGAAAGCTTACGCGTGAACCTCGTCCGTGTCGTGGGGGTATCACGACAAACGCTTTGTTGGTGCATAGTACTAGGAAGCCTCATGCACTCATGTCATGCGTATGATCTCATACGTGGCTTGGGGCACACGGAACATGTTGCACATATGCATACGTCGACACATGAAAAGACACTGTGCCGCCCGTCTACCAAACCATTAATGTCATCAGCCGACTTCGACACAGGCACCACGCGTGCACATGATGACCCAACCAACGACGTGTGGGTGGAGCAGAGATGAGGGGCATGGTGCTAGCGTCATTGATGGACCAGAGGTATGGAAGACTGCACGCAGCCGAACTGCAAGCAGCTGCAATCGATCGGCATCTACCCGCATTGATGTGACCCCAGAAAAACAGCAGCTTTGCAACCAAGTGTACCAAAAGTGGATTTCCTTTCTCGTCGTACATGTTTCGAGACGGCACTGGTTTGTGAAGAACTCGGGATTGCTGAAAAGTGTGCAGCAGTCATCTCCCTGCACGTTCAGCTCCCGTGTGCACCGTTGTATGTAGAACAACCAGCGTTGTACCATGTACATACATCAGCTATCATGTCTTCCAAGAAAAAAAAATGTTGCGTGTACAGATGCGTACGAGGCCGGAAGAAAAAACAGGACAAAAGCGCCAACGTGCGTGGTGCGTGTGCGTGCGGATTCGTCGCGGACCCTGGGCTTGTACGCGTACGTGTACTGCGGAGTACGTACACCCAACGAGTTCTGAGTGAGGTCACGCATGCTGGACTACTGCTGTAACTCACGGTCTTGTACTGCGCTGAGGCTTGAGAAACGGGTATCCCATGCTTTTTTTCCACAATTTTTCTGTAAACACACGTCATGCGCTCGGCGAAACTATACCTAGGCCGCACCGCGCATGCACGCCGCACGCCGGGCTGCCTGAATGCTTCGGCTTTAATATACGCATCACACTAGGGTAGGAGCACTGAAGTCGGGAGCGAGGGCGGGTGCGTTTCTCTACGCCACCCTGCGCGCGTGCTCGCGACTGACATCTGTAGGCTGCACGACACACGCATCTGTTTGTGCGGGGGCCGTTCACCTCGTTCGCGCAAATTAACATTTCGACACTTTTAGTCTCTCACTGCGCCAAACCTCACCTTGTTCCCCGCGGACACCTTTCCTGCCCCTGCTGGTGCCACCATGAACGCATCCGCCTGCTACCCGTTGGCCATGCGCGAGAGGGCAGAAGCGGATGCGGCTATTCATCGTACACGCGTGTTGTGGGATTGACTGACGTAGGGTCCGCCAGCGAATGAATGACTCGACAATACACAGCACGAGCACCTTGCAGTGTGGAGAAAAAAACGCGAACCAGCCACAGCACTACCGGTATATCCACGCATGCGCCTGCATGCTAAACACGAGCTGCGTTGTTAAAAGCCGCCTTCGTCCACACGCACGCGTATCATGCACGTGGCAGCGAACATGCGGACGGTAGATGCTGAGTACACCAAAAGAGAGCGAGAGTATGAGCGCCAGGCCCAAGCCGGAGGAGGTAACAGCATGTGTGGCATGCAGATGAGACGTGCAACAGACGCACCTGGATTGCCGCGGCGAGCAGCAAGATCACCGCCGACAGGTAGCTCTTCGTTTGCCCGTTCATCATCATAGTAGTGGTAGTGGGGTTTGTGATGAGAGAAGGAGGTAGCCCGGAGGTTGTGTGCGTACAACAGGGGTGTTGATTGTGGGTTGTAGCCGGTGACGTGTGTGAGCGGGTGGGGTGGTTGGCAAGTCAAAAAAAACTGGCTGAGAAAAACATTACGCACCCCTATCAAAAATGTCTAACGTCCCCTGATACAGCAAAAGAGGCGTTGTCTGACTTTTCAAGAGGTGACGAACGAGAAAGATTCAACAGGCCGGCGGACGGAGCAGAGGGGCAATCCCATTGTCCCATCTATGGGTGATCATGCTACATGAGGCTACGCGGGTACACTATTGGGGATGTATTCCACTATGTGTCCTGAGGGGGTGAACAACTTAGCAAGCACCGAGACCGTGTTGGACATCGCTCGTGCACATATATTAAACATGTGTCGTCGTCATCGGCACACGTACGGCGCTCTTCTTCCGCCGCCGTTCATGCGTCCCTCCAAGCAAGCTGGGTATCGTTTAGGTTCTGAAGCCCGATAGGGATTCAGTTTCTGTCGCCGATATTCTCAGAACCTATATTCGAAAACGACCCCACTTTGTTTACCCCATCAAGAAGTTACCCCACTTTCTGCATTTCACTTGGGTTTTAGAGAAGGCGATATCCGGTATCTTTGCTAAAAGCAAGTTGTTTTTCTTCGGTCGATGTTTCTCGAGACTGCGACGACAGATTTTCGTGTGAGTTGGAAGAGGTGTCCCTTCTGGGCCGTTCGGCATCTCCAGTGAGTTTCGTGCTAACGCTTGTGTCAGCTTGTGAGAACGCGTCCGTTGTTGTATGTCTCATTCGTAGATCTCCCCCGTACTCGAACAACCGAATCACCCCTCCCTCATCATTACGCCCAGTTTTACCCCCACTGGTCGCAAGCACAGCCGCACCCACGACGGGAAGGGTTGTTGTTGTTGTTGTTGTTGTTAATGTCTTCACATTAGAAACCGTTCCGATCTCGCTCTACCCAGTACCTTCGTATGCATGCACGTCCACGGTTCGTACAGAATAATTCACGAAAGGCGACTCTTAAGGATACAGCCCCGTTACCAATGAGTGAAACATACCTCAAACTCTCACCGATCACCACTGAGCAAGGCAAGGCAAAAGGCAGTGCTCGAAGGCAGAGCACATTCACCAGGACTGGAGTATTTTTGTTGTTTTCTCCCATTATTGGACTCTGTCGTCTGCCCCACTGGCCCCTATCCTCCACTTCTACCAGCTTGACCCAACCGGGGTCTCATAGGAGGGGGGGTTGGACCCCCTCCTGCGGTTCCTGCCTGAGATATTTTTATCGCGAGAAGGTACAGCAACCCCTTCCCTCGCGACTTATGAAGTCGGTCAAGCTATCAACAAGTATGTAAACCTCATGAGGATGTTGTTGTGTGGACAAAACTTATTCTTCTCCAGACTGTTGTTGTTGTTGTTGTTGTTGTTGACTTCACATTAAACCGTATGCCAGTTGCTAAATGCCAAAATCTAGCAAAGACTCTC